CGGAGGGAAAGTGGACCTCCGTCAGCACCGACGCCCCTCAGCGCGGACGCAGGTGCCAGGACGGGGTCCCCTGCCCTCCGCTCTCTGCTCCCCCTCTAGCCCGAGTCTTACCTCAGAGGCGCGCCAGTGGAGGCAGGACAGGGACTGGGGGAGGACGGGGGGTGCCAGGGCTTTAAGGAGGCGAGCGGGGCCTCGCAGCCAAGCCTGGGTGCAGGAATGTGTGGGGGAGGGGCCGGGCGGGTGGTGGTCCTGGGGGGGAGGGTGTCGGCTGCTATTTTGGCAGGTGCCGGGGACAAGGCTGAAGAAACACGTGCCCCACGCCATATAAGCCCATGTGGTCATCCAGCTGCTCAGATAAGCTATTTAAAACCAAAGCAGATATGTGGGGAACCGAGGAAGGGGCAGGCATGTGACATAAGCCAGCTGTCCCTCTCGACAATCCTGATAAAGCAGATGCCAGTGGCCCCGGCCCGGGAAGGGTGCTGGGGGCAGGGCTGGGGGCAGGGGCAGCCTCCCAGGCACTTCCTGAGCGCCCGGACCAGGGGTCCGGTGGGCAGACGCCCCCCAGGCTACTGGCCGCTTCTCCTGGGCTGAGCGGCCTTCGCAGGAGGAAGGCTGCGTGAGGACATGTGCAAAGCGGGGCTTCGCCACGACCCCAAAGCCCCATGACAAGCCCTGCTCACTGGGGAGAGACCAAACCTGCTACAGGAGGTCAGACAGAAGGTAGACCTTGCAGTCAGGAGGGACGGCTGTCCTGGGACAGGCAGCTGGCTGTGAGGGGCCGTGAGGACGGCCGGAGGGCTGTGAAATGACCACAACACGCTGAACCCGCCAGACTGGGCGACCCGTGAGGGGGTTCTGTCGTCTGCTAGCACATGTATGTCCACGGCCCCTAATACAGTAGCCGGGACACTTCAGGGCCCAGTACGTGACGAAAATGTGCGAGAAGAGAGAAGCATGACTGATGGCAGCTGAGCTGGCAGCCCCTTGACCTCTGACCGTCAAGGCCCATCCTAACCGCGGCCCAGGACCACGCCTCCCCGGACCCCCGGCCCTTCCAGACCCGGCGCAGCCATGATCTACACTCCTCGCCGTGGGCAAAGAAAGCCATTCTCGCCCGTTCTCGCCTCTCCCTCCCCTCGCCCGAGTGCGTGTCCAGCCTTCCAGTCCGTCTCCTCTGAGCCCTGCCGCCCGGGGACACCACGCTGCATCCGCTGCTAATGTCCTTGAGGGTCCCCCACAGGCCGACTTCCGCCTGAGCCTCACCCACTGCGTTCTCGGCCTCTTGCCCCATCACTGAGCTGAAGCCGTCCCCTCCATGGTCCCCAGTGGCCTTGGGGCCCAGTGGTCTGATTCCCCACCCCCAGCCTTATCCCCCGCCACGTGGCTCTCCGTGCTGCCAGATCAGGGGCAGGACAAGCTGAAGCCACCCGCCTGCCAGCCGGCATCCTAGGCGAGAGGCCACGAGAGGCGGGTGGGGGACGCGTGACAGCCAGGCTCTCCCCTGCGAGCCCCCCAGGGCCCTGGAATCCAGGACTGTGTTTCCTCCACCACCCCTGCAACTGAGCCACCTCAGTGGGTCCCGGTCCCTGGAAGCCCCACAGTCCTGCAAACCGGCCAAACGTGTTCGCGTGGCTGTCAGGAGGGGGCCCGGGCTCCTGGGTCTCACAGAGCATCATGGGAAGACCATGCATGGGTGAGGCTTTTCCTAAGTGTCCTGAGGCAGGGGTCTGGTTCGGAGAGCGGGGAGGCGGTCACTTAGCTGGCAAGAACGTCCAGCCAGCCTCCAGCAGCCACACCGTGACACAGCAGGGCTGTTCCCAACCGTCCCAGGAGGCGCCTGGCCTCCTTGCAAATAGATAAAAAGTCATCAGGGAAGAAAAACCCAAAGAGATGGCGCTCATCTAGAATGGCACTGGAAGACGCATGGGCTGGAGCCACCCTTGCAAAGTCTGAGGACCTACAAGAGGACAGGCCCCCTGTGAGGACCCAGGGCCACCGGGGCAGGAAGGCAGGATGGGAGGCCTCCCCCACCCCCGGCCGCCCCGTCACCGCACTGTGCTCCTTTGCACCTGTCACTGCAGTCACCGGGCATACATACACTAACATACATGTACTTTTAANGCCTGTGCCTCTGCACACCCCCATCAAGGCCATCCTCCGGGAGACAGTTGTTTGATCGGCTGAGGGTGTCCGCCCCACAGGACAGTGGCTTCGGGACGGTCCCTGAATCTCTCTGGCTCTGTGATCAGGTGACCCAGCTTCTGGGCTCCACTGCCTATGACCCGTCCCCTCACCAGGAAGGACGCTGGACAACCCGGCTGCGGAGCCCCTTTGCCTCCAAAAGCCCCAAACTTGTGGTCAGCCTGGGATCCGCAGCCCAGACGCACAGGGTGGGAACAAAGTGGTTTATCTCTCCTCAGTTCCCCAAAACAGACAGAGCCACTCCCCCACCCCCCTGCACGCCGGGGTGGTCCCAGGGAGAGGTGGGAGGGGACAGCCGTGGGACAGGGTGGCCCAGACACTCACCCTTCGTACTCCTCCGCCACCTCTTCCGTGTCAGACATGGTCTCTGCTCTCCCTCCAGAAAGAGAGAGACGTCACTGGGGCTGGACAGGAAGCTCGGCTTCTTCAGCTCAGCCCAGAGGGGCCTGGGGCCAAACCGAGCCCCTCATCAGCCCTGGGACCTGCACTGAGGGGCCCGCCTCCTCCTCCCCGGCACTCAGTCACAGCCAGGGTGACAGCTACGCCCAGGTCGTTCTCGCCCCAGAACAGGCACCCTGGAATTTCATTGCTCCGTTCAAAACACAAACTCTCTACACGATGTTTATAGAAGCTTCTGGACCTTTCTATCCTGCAGAGGCTCGGGGAAGGAGGCATTGCCCACCCCCAGCCCCCCATTCTATGTGGTCTGTCCATCGTGGCCAGAAGTCACCCGGCTGTGATACGACCACAGTGTGGAGTGCTAGTCAGCGATAAAAAAGAACAAACCAGTGACACACACAACACCCTGGGTAGGTCTCCATATGCTCATGGGGGGTGGGGCTCGGGGGGGCGGACAACCAATTCAATGACTCCGTTTCTAAAACAGTCTTGAAATGGGACAGATTGGTGGTCTTCAGGGGCTGTGTGGAGGGAGGTGGACGTCGTGATAGCACAGACATGAGGCATCGGCTTTGGAACCTACGCAGGTTCAAGTTGTGTAGAATGTCACACTCGGTCCCTGCAGAGCTGGGGAGAGCTGAGTAAGATGTGACTGTAACAACGTCCGCATCCTAATTGGGACTTGTAACATAGTTGTGTAAACGTTACCGCTGTGGGAACTGGGCAAAGGACACCAAGGTCCCTGTTATTTCTTACAAATGGCAGGTCCTTAGGACGAACAGCCAGAAAAGAGACACCAGCCCAGAGCGGGTGGGGAGTCCAGGACAGAAAACCACTGCCCGGGCCCCAGGGGAGCAGCCAGAACTCATGTCTGAGAACTGGGGGGCTGCTCTCTGCACGAGGAGCCTGTCACCTCAAGGAGGAGGGAGACGCTTCTCAGGGGGTTGTGCACGGCCAGCTGGGGCGCGGGGACTGTGGCACCCGCTCTCCCCCCAGCCCTGCCTCCACGGCCTCCACACCACCGGGCCTGGGCCTGGGTCACAGAGGAGAAAGGAGCAGCATGGAACCTTCTCCCTGCTCCTGGGAGCACCACCCGACTCCCAAAAATAGCCTCCTGGCTGCCACTCAGAGGGGGGTGGGCAGGGAAGGTCGCAGCCAAGTCAGTTGGCCAAAGGCAGAGCTGATGAAGGGGCAGGTGACAGGTGGAGCTGGGGATTCCAGAAGCGGGGACAATAAGAACCTGGCCCAGCAAGTGTGACTACATCCCAAAGCAACTGTGTCCTCGCCCCCCATACCCCACCTGCTCCCAGGCTGCTTTCCGGGTGACTCCCACACAGCCGAGAGCAGGGTCACCTTTCTTGGGGACTAAAGCAAACACAATAGACGGCAGAAACAATCCTGGCCATGGGGGTCAAAGGAGCTAGGGTGTTTGCTGTGTGACCTTCGTCCAGTCACTTAACCTCTCTGGGCCTCAGTTAACCTGTCTGTAAAATAGATGAGCTTCAAGTTCTAGTCTTGCAGAAAGTCTCTTGAGTTTCTGAGGACTGTAGCCTTGTCCCTCAGCCTTTGTCCCCAACATTCATCTGGGATTGTTCTAAGCCTGAAGCTGTTAGTCCACCAGGAAGCCAGCGGGCAGGGGAGTGGGAGCTGGGGCATGAAGGAGGGGGCAGCGGGCGACTTGATCCTCTGAGATGCCTCTTCTGCCCCAGAGGGTTTGCCCTCCGAGACAGGTCAGAGGAGGAACTCAGGGAGCCGGACAGCCCAGCTGCGAGGCTTGGAATGTGCTTGGAATTCCTTCCACTCCAGGCAACCCCTTCCCCAAATATTTTCTCAGCCTGCGCAAGAGAAGCTGGAAAATCGAGGGAATGTTTATCTCCCCATGGTCCTACGGGTGTGTGTGTGGGGGGGCGGGCAGCAAGACTCAGGATTAACCCGCTAACCCCAGGAGCTGGGCTCACAGCCCTGAGAAGAGCTCCCAGAGAGGCTCCCTGAGCCCCCAGTGCTGCTCAGCGCAGCTCTCCGGAAGCGGAGGGGGCAGGTCCCTGCCTGCGCTGGACCGGGGTCCCTCTCAGTGCTTGCCGGGCAGTTTCTATGTTCCTAGAGGTGACACGTAGCCCCCAGGACTGTCCTGCCTGACACGGCTACAGTCTCACTCCATTCTCTGCGGATGAAGAAGGACCTGCCTGGGAAGCTTCAGGGGGCCCTCAGCTGGGAGCAGAGGGGGCCGAACAACCCGGGGAGTCCCCCTTGTTAGAGCTTCGTTGTATTTAGGGCTCGCGAAGTCCTGGCGATGACCTAGTCCCAGCTACCGCTGAGGGAACAGGCCTGGGACAGAGCTAGTTACCTGAGACTTCCCAGCTACGTCATGTCTTCACCGGCAGAGCTGGGACTCAAACCCAGCTTCCGGGTGCTAACAGGGGCTGCGCGCCCTTCTCCTTGGAGTCCCACCCCTGAGGGGCCGCCTCCAAAAGGTGGCCTCCTCTC